TGGGCACCCAAACACCCTTCAAGTTCCCCACAGCAGTTAGAGCATGAAAAATGCCTTTCTACATTGGGCTATTTAATATCCACATCCCCTCCTATCGATAAGGTCAGTACAATTTTAACTCCCAAGAAAAAAAAAGATGAAAGTGCTGGCAGGCTGACACAAAACCCTCTCAGATATTTGTAAATTTTTCCCTTACCCTCAGAACAATAAAAAAACATCAAAATATGCCGACAGGCTTAACCACACAGAAACGACTTTGGGGTCACCCTTCAGAAAAATTCATCCAAAGAGGACAGGGGAGGTCTGGCCATTAAAGATGCGGTACAGTTTGATCTGCACATGTGAACAAAGGAGCCCTCTTTTTATTATACAAACAGTAAAAGCATAATTGTTGTGTCTTATCATTTATTATACTCTAGAATCATGAAAATATAAATAGTTGTCGAATGAAATTCAATGTTTTAGATACCGACATGTAAACAATGCCTTTGTTTACATACAGACTGTACCGCACTTTAAACTTAATGTACACCTATGGACCAGTTCAATAAAATTTGAACCCCTATAAGGCCCTATAAAGAATAAAATATCAAAGTGCCGACACAAACACTCCCCAGAAATTAAGAAATTTTTGCCTTACCCCTCAAGAAAAAATGCAAAGATCAAAGGATGCCGATGCACACAACCCCTCAGAAACAGCTTTTTCAACCCCCCTCAGAAACTCTCGTCTATGGGGGGGGGGGTATAATTAAGTGGTGGCCCCAATTTTCCCTAGTAAACAAGTCCGAATTGTGACAGATTTCTCACGACAAGCAACAAATCTCTTCAGACGCTTCTTTGTGACCTTTAGAAGTGATTGTGAAACATCCTCAAAATGAATACAACATTTATTCAATTTTAAATGTTTGAGTGACCAACTGGTTTCAGCCGCCATCAGTGGCAGCGCCAGGCCTCCAAATTTGGGGGGGCATTTGAGGGGCAAAACTCAAATTTTGGGGGGCAAGATAGAATTTTTAAAAAGGTCGCCCCCCCCCCCCCCC